GTTACTTGTGCCCCTAGGAGTTGTAAACAAATAAGAAAAAAAAAGAGCAAATATGCTCAAGAGCAGCAGAATGGGACTGGTGGAGCTGTTCAGCACAGGTAGACCTGGACTTATCAAGAGCTGTAGCTGGTTGGAATAAAAAGCCGAACTAAAGCACACCTCCAAGTCAGAAGGTGTAAAGTGCACAGTCCTGCTGTGCTAAATACCTCACCACATGCCAGCAGGCTTACTTCAAAACATGACAGGCATTTGAAGCAGTGGTCAATAAAAGATCTGTTAACTTGCTCACATTAGACCTCCCTGTAGGTCTTAGCTCAATTCCACTGCACACAGATTTACACGAACTCCCTTTACACTGTCACATCAGAAAAACAGGAGATCATGAATTTCTGTACGGGGGGGTGGGGTGAAATTTTCCAAAGATAGGTCAGTCAGCAGTGACGGCTCTGGAGAGGCACCCTCTTGTGCACTACTTGCCGTGGCTGGAATCAGCTGTCCCCAGGTTCAYGTGGAGATACAAGCCTTCAGTGCCAGGCTGATGCCAGGTTTCTTTTGAGACCTGCACAGCTCAGAGGCAGCGGGACAGAATACAGCAAACAGTGACTGGAATCAGTGACTGACCAAAGTGCTGAAAATCTCAGAGTACATTCTCAAAACTCCCACCAAGGATCACCTTTTCTGCTGAACTGCAGCAGCACCCACACTGCAAACAGGTCAAACTGGARCCTTCCCGTTTTTCCACCAAGCAAGAAATAGGATGCAGAATTATGTAGCCAGGCTCTTCCCATGAGACAAAAGCAACARGAAATGTTTCCCAAATAATGGTCAGGGGCAGGTTACACAAGACACCAAGCTACTGCCTCTGATTTCAAGTCCTGAGCTACAACATGGTGGTTTTACAGATCATGGTGTACTGGTCACAACAGCAATCATCACTATTTTCTCCTCTCTCTCCCTAGTACTTTGTTTTGAGAAAGGTTTCTCTACATGTTTTATGTTCCTTTAAATATTACCTATAAATATTTAATTTACCTATATTTAGGTAATTTATATTTACCTATGTTACCCGATATTTATTTACCTATTTAAATATTGCCTAAATATTACCTGTCTCATCTCTACTCCAGAAAGATATCACAGCAACACAATAGGCATTTTCAGATACACAAAACCTGAAGTTAAATGCTGRTGTTGGCATATCTATTTAAATTAAAGATGTCTTAGAGATGAATAGAGAGAACTGGTAAATGTTAGACAAGTTGAAGCAAATGAGAAATTTGATATTAAATGTATCCAAAGATTATCTTTTTCAACAGTTACATGGTGGTTTACAAAATATAAGAGATTAGCATTTTACTCAGATGGCAAAAATTGAACCAAAAGCATGAAGTTTCCTAGGCAGATGAGAAGCTGGTGCCATAGAAKAAAAAGAATATRGATTTTCCAGCTCRAGTTGTTCAGYTTTTTGTTACCAACCCAGCYAAGATTTTCTACTTGCTTTCTCCTKCCCAAAGACTTTCTATRTTACCTGATTTCAATCAACTTSAAGCAAAAGCAATCTGAAGGATATTCAACCACCCTCTCAAATATTTTACAGCTACTCCACCAGTGAAAAATACATTTAATGTAATTCAAGAAGATGGAGGCCTCATTGTATAGCCAGTCACCATCATCTTCCTTGGGATGCTTTTAGGATGAGTCCATYCTCTTTTTCTCCTTTTCTTGCTAAAACAGTTTCAGCTATAATCAGCTAAGGTCTGGGGTTTTACTCCTTTTCCTTGCAGGAAAATAATTTATACTATTAGGGGAAGAGCACAGATCTTTCCCCTGAAATGGCGATTTACTTTCTAAGKTTATGAAATGTAAAAGGAAAAATKATCTGAAAAATGGTCTGATCAGAGTTCTGGTGTTTAAAATCTACCTTACACCTTATTGATAAGACTAGTAGCATTGCACATTGCCTAAAACATCCCTTCAGGCAATCCTACTTTCACTCACCTGTAAGTTGTTTAAACTTCTACTATTTGGTCTGAGTTGTTTTTTTTGGTTTTTTTTTTTTTTTTTACTATATCAGGTGTCTGCACCAAGCTGAACATTTCGGAAGCACTTTAGCCAATATCTCGATAATTTCTGCAAATGAGATAAGGATGTGGGTGGAGAAATTTAATTTTCACTGACTATTCTGATAACAATGCCTTTGACTAAGCTGTCTGTGCTTTAAAGTAGGGAATAGAAATCTGACAGGAGAGGGAGGGCATCAGATGAGAATGGTACGATGATTCATGCCTCCATATGAAAATTTGAGCCATTGGGCCAAGTCAAAAATCTTCCAAAAATTTGTAGCCTGCATATCTGTTAGCAATTAACAGCYAAAGTTCTACACTCAATGAATAAATTCATGCTTTTCATGGGTTTTTAGTGACATCCAGATTGCCTATATAATGCCCTCAAAGAACAGCTAAGAACTCATCTGTCTTCTGAACATTTTTGTATGTGAGCCAGAGGAGCATATGCAAGCCCCAAGCTACGTCTACATTACAGGGCTTCAGGAAAAACACTGGCTATTGTGAGCAGAAGTGAGACTTGGCAACAGCAGGACTGGGGTGGGAGGAAGGGAGTGAACCTCAGAGCTGCACACCCTTTGTGAATATGGGAAACAGGACACCAAAGGAAGGAGGAAAGGGAAATTGCACTGGAAAGACACTCTCCTCATAAGAGACCTGTAAATTCTTCAATCTGAAGATGTTGGGTTTTACAGGCATAACGTCATTTTATGTGAAATTGCAAAGCATGCAAYAAGAGGGAAGACATATCTTGGGAAGAATGCAGAGCTGAGCACCTGCACAAGACAGAGTGGAGGCCAAGGGCAAGGCCTGAATCGGACAAGAAGCAAACATGACAAGACAGGGAATGAAACAAAGGAAAACAGGAGGATGTTCAGGTGTCATGTATCTGTTCTAGGGAACATGCTGTCTGTAATTTAGCTGCTTATCAGACCTTGTGTCATACCCTAATCTGGCTGACCACTGTCTTACTCCACAGCAGAGAAAACATCCCCACCATGTTTTGTGACCCTGCCAGAAGATTCTCTGTGCCTCTTAGAGAGGACATTTCCTAGTGAGTCAATGCCTCACCAGTAAAGGATATAGATGAGCCATATTCCCCAGTCCATGACAGATTTTATTTGAAAATTGTGAGAGCAAGGCTCTTTTTAGGTTCTGGGAGACTGGATTTAGGTTACTCAGGATTGGTTGGGATCTATGGCCTCTGTTTTAACATTTTTTTCAACTCCTGCTCCTGAAAAAAAATTTTTCATCTCTTCCTCTTGCTTCCTAAGATGAAGTTGGAGGAGTAGGTGATTTGGGTCTTTGTTGCCAGTCCAGCACACCTCCCTGGGATCTGCTTCCAGGTAACAGTGAAGACCACCTGTGCCACATCACAATCAGTGGGCTCTACGAGTGGGCTACACATTAAAGAAGACATAACTGCAATAAATATAAAATGACACACCAACATGCTCTTCCAGCCATTATACCAGGAACTATGAGGAAAAACCTGTGGGAGGGAAGCTGCAACAGAAAGGCAGGCCCATTTTAGGGAGAAGCGTGGAAGAGGCTGGAGTCTATGGCCCAYAAAGTTTGTGAGATGAAAGGATAACTTGTATGCTTTGCAGAAATTTGTTTCTGGGGGATCTATAGTTCTTGAGAGTGTGTCTGTCACAGCCATCTCTGTCATCTATTAGCAAATGTCCCAGCCACTACAGCTTTTTTCTAGTGCACAAAAAAWGCTGACATCTAACATTTAATATAGCAGCTCAGAGGTGGGGAAACTGATCATAAGTTTGGATAATTAATATCTGTTGTTAATATGACACCAGAATGCAGAACACCTGCCTCCGTATTTAATTTGCTGGGGTGGATATATTGATTTTTTTTTAGAACAATGCTAAAATAATAATATATTTGTGACATGACCTACAATAAGGTTAAGGATCACACTGTTGGACCTACTGTTCAACAGTCCCCCCTCCTGCCCAACCATATGTAATAACAAAAACTGTAAGGCTTTGTAACTCCATAAMCAGCTCTTATGCTTCCCAACAAGCTTTACTCCATGCACTGTCTAGATGGGATGGTTCTCACTGTGAATATGAGAATGAAGCACCACAGCCCATCAGCATCGAGTCTGGTCCCTGCCCTGTAACGTCAGCAGGGTTTGATTTCCTGACGTAAAGCCCTTGGTGTACACGCACGCCTGTGCTGACGAACTGCAGCCAACGTGGTACGGAGCTCAGCTTTTCTGTGCCTCTTATCATCGTTCTGGGTGACTTTATGGAGGTAAACTGGTCTGCAGTACAGTAACTGCTGCCAACAGGTGAGTTGTATATAAAAAAGCAACATCTGAGTAGACAAGAGGGAAAGGTAAGGCAGCGTGAACACGTAATATCCCACATTACAGAGTCCTAACACCAGCAGAAGGCAACGACAYCCTGAGACCTCTGCCTGGTTCAGGTCAGAAACCAAATTTCTTCCCTCCTTCCCTTAGTGCTTTTCCAGTCAATTTCATCATAGGTTTATTTCCTAAACCCAAGCAGTTTGCAGCTGAAATATATGGCATACGCTGGCACTGCTCTCAGCAGAGCAGGTGGATTCAAACACCATTCATATTCACACCAAACTATAAACTGCTCATGCCTATCACTGGGATGAGGGGGAAATAATCATGCAGAAGGCGGATTGACTGGGGCTGCCTGTTTAGCGCTCACAGAACAAGCCCAATGTGCTATTTTGCATCATAAAACTTAYGGAGAAGTAAGTGCATATACACAGTAATGAGCCATTATGGCTCATTAGAGGCTCAGCTTGCAAAGTCCAAAGTGTACAAACAGAGGCATAAAAGACAAATCTGAACTAAGYACTGTACCCTGCCCTCTGCCTGCACCAATCCTTTACACATATCTGGTAAATGATTTATGAACTCAAAGATAACAAAGTATAAAACTGTATCACTGTCTTCACTTTACAAAGGAAACCCTTTCTGAATAATTTGCCATGTCTCTGAAAATGTTTCAAATTTTGGTGTCTGCTCTGCTGTTTACAGGTAAGTGCCTGGCATCCTATCTCATGTCATTCCCTTCAGGCTTGTTAAACAGTCAGCTGGCAAAAACCCCTGTGTTACCACCAGAACAGCACTGATGGAACAGAATGAACTGGAAATCACTGCAGCAGGGACATGCAGGGGAGCGGGTGAGCACAGGATTGCCTGGTAAATTCTGTGAAATACAGGTTGATTCTGCTCCTTTTGACTACTTTTGACTCTTCTACTGCTCATGGATAAGGAAGAAGGATGCATTTCTGACTGAAAAGCACTCTTACAGGATAATTTCCTGAACTGTTAAAATTGTGAAAAGGGTTTGATGCTGTTTCAATGAAATCTTCCCTAAATATTATTCTTACCTCAACATTTATTGATGGTAGGAAACAATTTCCCATGCATTTATAAGGACCTAAAAGAATCTATTTCATGAATGATTACTGAGATGCTTGACTTGAATTTATTAAGGAGAGTGATTGTTTTAAAGCACACAGGCTGTCTGAATGCTGATCYTTCACAGCACCATGTAACCAGAGCACAATCAAGACTCAACCACTAAAACTTGGACCAGAGGGCAAATGGATGGGGCAAGGCTACCTCATGCTCTTCCCAAAKCAGCACACACTGATAAAGTCAATGATCAGCGATGCACATGCTGTAAGATTAATTTGTTTCTCACAGAATTAAAACAAACCAGGCAGGCAGTAAGAGACAGCTGACTTCCCAAATGACTGCCTGCATCTTGACAAGATGCTCCATCYACATGCATGCATTAAAAGCATTTCTTAGATGCGAGTACTCCAATACACATGCAGCAAGTACATGATGTGAATAGCTAAGGCAAAATGAAGGAGATATAATTAGCTAATGATTAATTGTGGTCAGGTATAATCTCTGTTATGGGTTGGATTCACTTCCATGTTAACTGCACAGAGGCTTTGGAGGGAGATAAAGAGATGGAAAGGGACTTTGTATCTTCTGCAAGTTAGAGCTCACCTATAAACCTTTTTCCCTTATTTGTCCTTCCTGATCTGCAGCTGAACTGGGACAATTCCTGGGTATTTGCCTATCTGCTTGAACTTCACCTCTTTTCCACAGAAGGCCATTCTAACACAGCGTCACCTGGGAGCACAGCAGCTTCCTGCCCCCCCTGTTGGAAGACTTTACTTTCATCTCCTTTATGTCTTTTTTCTTGCTTACCTGCTTTTCCAGGTTTCTATTCTTCAAAAGACATGAAGAACTACTTATTACTAATTTTAATGAGCTCTTGCAATTTTCATTGATCACAATCAGTTCAGTATTTCATTAATCCTTTCAGCAACAATGAAGGGGGKGATAAAGTAAAACAGAGACTATGAGACTAATGAGAACTTGATTTCTCTTCATGCCCTCAGCTCAACTGGTAGAAATYACTCCTCAGAGTAAACCACAGTCACACCTCTGGGAATGGGCTCTCTGTACCTTCAGCCCCAGAGAGTGCAGTAGCAAGGGATGTGTGATGTCCTGGCACTGGGACAGTTAGTGAAGTCTCTCAGATATCTGATGGGGGTGTTTTGCCCATTCACTCGAGGTTAAACTGGTAGCCACATATGAATGTAGAAAGGGAATTTAAACAGGACCCACTGAGGGGACCAAGGGACCCATGCTTTTTCTAATACTTTGCAGCAGTGGAAATAGTTCCTTTCCAAGGATCATCTAGGATTTTTGCYAAATTGCTTTGCTATTCACCGATACCTGACAACTGTCCTGACCCCTGGCATCATKACACATATTGAATATGTTCAATAGCTTATTCTGCATTAAGTATCTGTGATTGCCTTTGCTGATGAGGGAATGAGGCTGATGCTGTAGCTCTAACAATTGTTAATGACACAGCTCTCATGTCTTGAACCAGAGAGCACTTGTGTCCTGTAATGTAAAATTAAGAATTGTCAAAGAATAAAAACTACTATACTTCAAGCTTTAAAAATTAACAGATGAGGCCAAAATTTCRAAGACTGGGTGATATGAACAGAGTTGAAGCACTTAACAATCAGTGACTTTAAATCTTGCTGTCAACAGGTATTAGCAAATCTGACTGATTTAATTCTATTCTAAGGCTTGTTACCATCTGAACACTTTGGAATGCGTAGCCAATGTATACACAAATATTTCTCTTTCATMATTTGAAAGAAACAATGTGCAGGTGTTAGACTTTGATGTAATTGCATTTTTCAACTGGAAAAAGGTGATATTTGGGCCAGACGTGGCCTGCAGAATCTGAAAGTCTATCCCTGCTGCCATGTATGCAGTGTACTGACAGATAACCACATCTTGATTTCCACAGAATGCCATATAATCTAGAGAAATACTTCAGTGAGGAGAGAAGCAGCTTCTGCTACATTTTTTCAGCACTCGCACAGTTTCATTGTGGTATTCTGAATCTTCAGACTGAGTCCTGTGGTCTGACTTTGTGAATTTAGATTTAGAAAGTTAGATAGCTGGAGGGTGATGGGGAGGTTGTCCATTTTGGCTCATTTCTAGCCTTAAGAAACACAGCTGAGCTGCAGCACTTGATTTACTTTTTCAAAGTTCCCAACACGTCAGCAGCTGCCACCTCAGCAAGGTTGAAGTTTAGCTGTGTCCAAGTTTAGTCTCTGTCCAAGCTCTGTCCTAAAGAGCTGATAAGACTGGCAACCTTACCTCCATGACCTGACATACTGACCAGAGAGTCACCAAAGCTGATAATAAGWAGAGTTACTTGACTTAAAGGAAAGCAGCCACAGCAATTGCCAAGTTTAGACATTTAAATTCCATTGATATTAACTTAAGCAACAGGTTTTCAGGTTTTCACAAACTTGCAATAGACTTCAGAAACTATGGAGAAACGACAGTGTGCACAGAGAGTGATTGAAGTGCYGCTAAATAATGAAGACTTTTTTTTKGTAAATATCACGACAGATAAACCATTTTCCCTGTGGTAGATGCACACCAGGGATAAATTTTGGTCCTAAGACTAGAGATTGCTCCTCACCACTTACACAATACTGCAGATTTGGAAGGAAAATRGCTTTGTAGTAGGGAGTGGAAGAAGAAGAAGCATATCCTGTACTAAAACAAGTGTGAAGAATTGTAGCTTTTTATCATTAAACTCTGCCATTGGATGTGCACTGGTGGCCTGCTTGCTCTCCTCAGGCTACAATGGCTGATACTGCAAGTACAAAATAGCTTTAAAAAAAAGTATATCAATTAAATAGGTCCCTAAACAGGCAAATGTGTCAAAACTTAACCCCACWCTCACCTTTTTGATTGTGTGATGAAGCTGATAGATAAAGATGTCTTCCTGGGAAGATTTTGTAGCTGCACCCAGCTGAATATCTTTCTTTGTAGAAATCTATTCTTGTACAAGAGAGTTATGCTTCCRTTCAAGTCTAGTATGAAGAGATTTTAAAGCACAGTAATTTAAGATCTATCCAGGTTTGGATAGATATTGATTTTTTTATTTTAAGTGCAGTTTGCTTGCTATACCACGATACTTTTTTATTTTTACTTTGAAATTCAGAGACATGCCTTTTCATAATAAGATTTTTGGTGTTAGTTTTGGTTTGCTTTTATATACTCAATGCTCTTTTTTGACAAAGATGACAGGGTTGTACCACCATCTCCCCTCAAGCTTCATYTTAGATTATAGTAATACAAAATTAGATGCTCAGAAGGCATGGTAGCAATAATGAGTACTAACAGTCTTCCCTCTGGACAATGTCTTTAGGTGCACAGGATAGACGAAACTATCTGCTGAAGGCAATAATTATACGAGCTAAGCATCTGCTTGCTAAAACCAGCCAACTTTTTTTCTATAATTTGCTTTTCATATGAGAACACTGAGTGAAATTTCAAGAGATGATGAAAGGAAACACTTTAACTTGTAACAGCTGATACAACCTTGGCAATAGTTCACCCTCTGCACTCTTTCCTCCTATTTTCCCACTGGAACATTTATACCTAAATTTACTTTTGGRATCACATATTTACTTAAGAGAGTGTCTCAGTTTGAGACAATGTTTTCAGAGAGATATGTTACAGGATAAATGTTTCTTCTGAAGTGAAAAGTTTGGTCATTTTTTTCCCACCAAAATAAAACAGGAGTTTGGGTGAATGTGAAGAGAAAAATAGTTTATTAGCAAAACAAGGTGCCCACAGGACACAGATAAAAAAGTAACTGTTGATAATTAAAAGTCCAGGAACGCACGACGCCCCCTCCCCCCCACAGCCGCTTGGCATGTGGTGTGGAGAAAAGATGGCACTGCTCTTGTCCCCGGAAAAAAAAGAAACAAAAAAAAAAGTCCATGTAGCTGCTTGGGCAACAGTGAGAACCTGGTGGTAGTCCTCTCCTCTCTGTGGATGAAACAGAGGGCTCAGTGTGCTTTTCTCTGGCTGGCTTGAGTTCTCTGGAGCCTGGGATGAGATGGAGCAGCGCCTGCTGCTTTTTTTCCTGCCGGCACCTGGCTGATCGGCTCTTGCCTYCTGGTTCTCGGACTGAAGYCCTGCTGATCCGCTCCAGAAAATCACRTGAGTCGTAGAAGGGGTRGCAGTCCAGRGAGAGCTGTTTGCCCAAGCAAACAAACCTAAGCTAGCTAAGTGGCAACAATGTAAMTCCCCCKAACTCAGCGAGCAGAACTSCCACAGTGCTGAGCTGAGCTCCAAAAGCCAACAGCTGCGGGCAGCCCTGGCTTTTAACTGCCCACACTTCCTTCCCAGCTGCCCCTGCCCCTTCTTCTGGRTCRCATTTAAAGSMACAGRCACCTTTTGGGCATACAGGCCCAAGCAGAAATATAGGAATAGAGTTTTATCATAAAATCAACCCAAGACAGAGAGGAAAACAGTATTGAATAAAAATATTAACACACAATATTCTGGTTGCTCTTCACAGCGAGTTAACTGTTTCAGTACAACCTGAAACTTCATTTTTTTGCAGCTCAACTTTATGCACTGTGAGCCATTTTATTAAAATCACCCAGCTGCTCCTAAGTCCCTCTAGTCTCAYATCAGATGCTCTGAAATTCCATTCTCCTGGTTTGTTTGCCAATCTCCTACAAGATGCACTCCTTCAGGAATAGAATGTGTTTATAGAGCAAACCCTTCCACAAAATTTTGCTAAGCTGTTCAAAATGTGAAGAAAAATTTCACCCACTCAGAGAAACTTAAATTGAGGCAAGACATRGTTCATTTGATGAAAACTCCACACTATATTCAGAGGGGTGACTCAGATGGAGACACCTGGTCTACATTAGAGATTAGAGAAGATGTTGCTTTCTCTGAAGTTTGTCCTGTTTGGAGACTCATGATGATCTTTACAGCAAGACAAAGAATGAGCTAAACCTGAAGGATTAGCTATCTATAAAGGCACTTACCTGATTTAGTACTCATGCATCTTTGGAGTGCCCCAGCAGTTGGGARCAAGTCCTGCAGAGATGGCTCCCAAGAGATGAAATAGCAGCTAGRAAAGAATAAGAACTGGGTGTCAACAGTGACAAGAAAAGCCAAGAACAGAGCTGCCATACCTKCCTCTCCTCAGAGCAGGCAAGTGCACTTCAATCAAAGTGAACACAGCATACTTAGGGGTGGCATTTCTCATTGGATCAGACGCAGCCACAGCAGACTGTATATTAAAAACTGACATATWATACCCTGAAGATGCAACTCTCTGCACCAAGATAACACCTCACTGTTCCACCAATGGAATGAGAAGCTATTTTTTTGAACATACTGGCAGCGAGAAAAAGAAACACAAGAAGGAGAGCTGGTTAATGATCTTCTTTTTTTTTTCAGCTTGTTTTAAATCTAGAGGTCCAGAGCCCATATTGGTGATAAAATGTAATGTTTAATTGCCCTTACTAATCAGATATACATTTCACGAAAGTGAAGCCTGTTAATGAGTCAATTTCTGATCCCAGTTCAGTTATCTCAGCGTAGAAATATAATAATTAGCTCACAAAATATTTAATATATATAAAAAAAAAATCCTCAAATTCCCTAAAGAGAAATTAATGTAGATTTTTCTATTGGAAAATAGTAAATTGCCAGAGAAATATTGGAATTTGGCACAAGATTAGTTTTCTGTTGTGCAGGTCTGGAATACAAGTATAGAAGCTTAATAGACATATGCATGACATGTATTTTCTTATTTCCCAGGCCAAAATCTTGTTTTCTGAAGTATAGAAATAGCTATTCCTGTTTCCTAAGGGAGAGAACAGATCACACGATTCTTCCCAAAAAATGTCTGAACTTACTCTTTTCCATGGAGTTGGTAACATTTTTGAAGATGGTATTCCTTGAAAACTCACCACCCTAAAACTTCTACTTCCAGTTTATGATTATAGTAATTCGGAATATGAAGAAACTGAAGTAGGAAGGAACTACTGGGATGGCACTGCTTGTTAAGTAACTCTTCTAAAGTACTCTTTGACATCTCTATTAAGAGCAACGATGACAACCAGCATAATTTTTTTTTGTTCACTACTGTGTAACAGAGCTTTTTCTCATCTTCTTTTTAAATATTTTTGGCACGGAAAAGAAACAAAGTGAAAGGAGCAGCAAACACTGTAGCTGATATATCTTCTACCTACATGCATTCAGCAAACATTTTCTTCTGTTAAAAAACTAAAGAGCAAWRATATTGTGGATKATCAGGAAAGCCAGTAATAATTACRAGTGGACTGGATTCARCTGAACRTTGCACATGAAAGCAAACATTTGATACTCTCAGACTTTCCCCCCAGAAATTCAGGAATCAGGGCCCTGGAGAGCTGTGAGTCAGGTAACAGCTTGCCCWGCTGAGCTCCTACTCTAAGACATAACAGACAAAGGTTCAGGTTCTTGGCCCATCTGATCCAACCACGTGCAGGTCACCCTCAGGTGTCCATTTAAACCCACTTCACTAAATTGGAGCACAGATGTTTGTAGACACTGGCCTCAGCTTGGCTGATGTGTCTGAGCTCCAACTTAATCAGTGATTCATTCAAAATTGTGAGAGAGATTCAGACTGACATGCTATTTTGGACTATTTTAGCCTCAAATTAATTGATGTCTCAAAATTAATTTCTGTCTCAAACACTCAAGACTAAAAAGAAAAGATTTTTTYTCTGTACCAGAGYCCTTCATATGAAGCTAAAGAGGAATTCTGACCCTTTTCTTGTGAAGAATATTTATTTCAAGATCTGCAAGAACTACTTCTGCATCTGTGGTGACCTCAGAAGCTATCTGAAGCAATGAAATAACAAGATTAGAAGTGCAATATYTTCTGTTCAGAAAGTAATTTCCAAGCATGCAATTTCTATGCTGATACTAATGAGAATAAATATCACATATAGGCAGGAGGTTCAGAAACCATAGTTAAATTAAATAGGTATGTTTTGGGTTCTTTTAAAAAACTTTATGCTTTCAGCACCCCCGAGACTAGTGCAAGAGGATTTTTATAATGAAATTTTGTATTAAAATTAAATTAGTTTCTTAATTAGATGGTAAATTTATTTCTTTCAGTTTCTACAGCAAAATAATGAATTAAAGCATCTGTTTTATTTAGTTCCGGCATAAAAAAAAAGTTTCTTTCCGAGAATCTAAGATAGGATCATCTTTGACTTCTATGAAATAAACTAGAGATTCAAAACCACATTCYGTGGATATAGGTGTATTTTTGAAGTGCACATTCTAAACTATTTTTCTGMTATTACACATATTTTTCAGCTTCTGTTTCAAGTGTCCTTGGAGCACCCTTTCAGACAGAAGATTCAGCAAATCAATTCATACGACTCAAACGACATATTCCGTATTCTCCGAGCTACTGGGACTCCAGCAGCAGCCAGAACACGTGGGGATCCACTGTGGCTGAACAGGTATTTGCTTCCTTCATCTTGCAGCATCTATTGGGAAAAAGAAAGCACAGGTCTGGAATTAACGTGCAGCATAAATCCTTTGGGGCAAGGGAAAAAACTTTTCTGATTTATCARCATGGGCAAGGCTGCTCAATAGTCACACACTGCATTTATTCAGCATCAAAGCTCAGAATGTTGCTTTCTGTTTTGATCTACTTCAGATAAGTGAATCATGGGCAGCTTTGAGAGAAACAGCACAATACTACATGGACTTGGACCCTTTTGCCTTCAATCCCTCTGTAGCTGTGTATGATGGAGYTTCTCAACAGAGCATTTCATAGACTCGGAGCATATGTGTACCCAAGTAAGTAAAACTGACCCAYACAACACTGCTGACAATTGGTTTATACTGCTGTAACTTGACACAGTAAAAAACCCAATTATATCCTGAAAAATTAAAGAAGATTTGTTCTTACTGTCCAAGTCTAATAGTTATTTAAATGTGGTCATTTCATTGTGGCAGGTCCTTTTTAAGGATGTTTTGGAAAAGCTCATTAAGAGCTTAAAGAATATATATYCTTTTAAAAGCCCACAGAAACTAAACTGCTTCCTATAGAATTGATTTAAAAAGCAGACAGAATGCAATTCCTGAGGAGAAAAATAAAAGATAAAAAACTCCATCTATTTCCGTAACAAAACTGTATTCAGTGTAGAATAAAACCTCAGCAGAACAAAACAGAGAATGAGACATAGCAGTTGGTAAAAGCAGTATTTATAGATCAGCACAGGAGTACATGAAATAAAGTGTCACAAGCTGCCTCAGAAAAATTTTTTAGGACTGTGCTAAAATKGGACACATTTTTGGGATAAAATTTTGTCACATTTACAGAGCAATTACTAAATGATTCAGTTGGACAAGCACAAGGCAAAATACACACATTATTCCTGTGGAACACTTTTCCTATGAAGATCCTGCAGTCCTTAAAAATGGACAGGAGTGGGTAGAACTAAACTCATAGTTTCAGTGTTTAAGACAGTTACTAAGACAGCAATCTGTCAATCTGTCTGAAACGCCAACAGGAAAATAAGTAAACTTCTTCTCATAATATACTTTGAATTGAATACACTTTGAATTTTACTGACTTAAAAGTACCTTTCTTTTTGAAAATGAGTTTCATTTTGAAATGCAGCTTTTGAAATGACCTTTTATCACTTTATAAGATAAGAATCTGACTTGGAGAGTCTCTGAGTGAGCTTTCCAGGACTGTTCCACTGAAATGTTTCACTCATTCTGAGCAGAAGCAAAGTAGGAGAGAATAGCTAAAAGCCATAATTTAGCATTGCTGAGCCTTCAGCTGGTGCCCTTGGGCAGCTGGAAGGAAACACCAGGTTATTCTCTCTCAATTTCTGATATGGGTGGATAGCAGCATTTGCTTCAGCCTTATGACAAATTTACCTGAAGACACTTTACTCCGTTTTCTTAAAACAAAACCAGTCTTTCCCATCAGAAAAATTCCTCAAAGAGAAAAGCCCTAACTGTTTAATTACTGGTTGTGCATCCATGTGCTTGATGGCTGTGATCACAGCAGCTGCCAGGAAGACTCCAGGATGAGTTATGCCTCCAGAAAGATAATCCTAATGATCATCGTATGACAGGATTAAAGCCACTTACATAAACACATTTACAGGCACTCCCACTGAAGTATGTTTATGATTTCAAAGCAAGGCTACTCAACTCTCAGACTGAAATAAACTTCCCAATGTGACAGGAATCGACATCCAGAGATTTTGTGAAGGCATGAAATAGCAAAGAACCATCAAGCTAGAAATTACAAAACCCATTATGGATAAAGTAGAACAGTTCTTTTCAACCTTATTGTTCTTGATTAGTGATAATTCTGAAATGATAAGCCTATAAAACCTGTACAGGAATCTGGTTGTGTGCTTCCAGAAGAGAACATTTGCAAAAGCTGGCAAATCTGAAGACTGCAGCTGTTGACAGTCTCTTTAAATTAATTTTGTGATTTTTTTTCTTTTTTCTAAAAGCAATTTATTCCATCTTTTCTAGCAACAACATCAGTTCTTACATGGAGYTGCTACAGCAGTCTGGGACTCACCTCCAGCAACAAGCTATTAAATTCTGCACGACTTCTATTAAGCCATGTTAAGATATGRCATGTTATGTATTTGCCATTATGTATTTGATAAGATGACTTTATCTCATCACACTTGAGTCTAAACCCAAAATTAATACCCTGACTCTCTGCATAAATACTGCATATTTTACATTCATCAATAGAACTGAGATGTAGGATGTGGTAAATTGAGTAAGAAGCTGAGGAAAAACAACCACGAACTTTCAGCATGTTGGGTTTTAAAACACCTAGTGTTTTCAAGTAAAACACTTTTTGACTAAACAATGGTTTTGAGATTTACATTCCTGCTTCTGTGACTGAAGAACACATTTTTTTTTTTGTAGTATTTTCCTTTAGCCACATTTTTGAGAGGCAAGTAAGAAATGAAAATCAGTCTCTTTAGGTGGGTGAGAGAAGTAGAACACTTTTRTTCAGGTGTAGTTCTGTAGTGCTTTTCCATGTTTTCAAGGACAAGTAGCAGGTGCTGTTGTACACATCCATTCATGTCTATGTTTTTCTTTTCTCATTTGAATTTCTGTACTGGTCTTGAATGCCAAAACCAACTGAACCCACAGCTACTCCTGTGAGTTACTTTTCCTTACTTCACAGACCTAGGAAATGTTGGAAAAACTCATGGCTCCTTTTCTAAAATAAAATGGTGGTGACAAATGCTCTTCATGAGTTTATGCCAAGTTCTTGAGCTTGGCAGTTTTCTGTTTCTTATTCCTTAATGTACCTTATTTCAGAAGATCTTTGAAGAAAGGRTTGGGCTCCCATGTTTCTTTTATGTATTATTAATATAATGCTAACAATTAAATCATTTTCCAACCTTGGCCAAAATTTCAGTGTGAACAAAGATGATCTGTTGAGGAAAACAAAATCTGTGGTAACCTTAATGACAGGGTAGCTGAAGGAAGGCAATTTTTGGTCACCTTTTATCCCCAAAGAGCAGATTCTGCATTTTGCACTTTCGGGATTCTTTGTGATATGGACTGTACAYTGACTGGAATAAATTTGAAGATAATGTTGGATCTTCTAGAAAGAGATCCATATTCTGGCATTTTGGAAATTTTTACCATGCTCCTAGGTATGAAACTCTCCTTAGGCCATTATTAATTTCCCACGTAGGACAATGGGCCTGAAATTGCCATTATTCATTAGCAGAAGCTGAAAATTCATTAAACACTTGAAAGAGATAAATGAGGTGTAAGTTCAGTATTTGCCATGTAGGATTTCACATCTTTAGTCACACTACTTAATTATGAACAGTTCATTCAAAGATAAGGGRTGACAAGTGATATACAGACTAAAGACCTCACTGGTTAAACACAGCCATGGCCTGTCCCTGCTGCCCCCTTTCCTAGTGCTGCTCAACCTTGGATAAGCTAGTGCTCCAGACCCTAAACATTCCATTATTTTCCTCACTAACAGCACAGGCATGACAGAGTTACYGAAACTCTTCAATTKATAGCAAAATGCAGGACTGTAAGGATAAGCATGGCCTTTTATTTTGAATGGATTTGCAGTAAAACTCCAGCTGGTCCAGCTGAGCCCCTTGCTGATCCCAGAGAAGCTGCAGCTCTGCAAGCAGTGATGCCCACCCCACTTGTGAAGCCTGAAGCACTGCTCTTTTCTGCCCTTTCTCTCTGATTGACGCTGTTGCTGCCAAGGCAGGGGTTTGTGATCTGTCTGTGCATYAACTGCAGTTTTTGTGCCTGCATGGTGAGCTAAACCAAAATGGGGCAGTTCAGGGGTGGGTCTGTGGACAGACAACAGACATCCCTGCAGTGTGGATGACAAAGTCCATCAATGAGGTGGAAGGCAAAATGAAGTGCTATCAGCTGTCATCTCCTATCATCTAGTGAGGTAACTGCCCAGSCTTTATGAACCATTTTAGGGTTGTCAGAGCCATAAAATTACAATAACCACTCTCTGTTGCCACGAGGACAGTCTTGCACAAGGCTGGCTTTGCAACTAAAATGTCAGACAAAACCAGGGGATGCAATTTGACAGATCTGTTGTACTTAGACATGACTAATTCCTTTAAAGAAGTTGTTCTGAAAGCCAGAGACTCAATASTCAATCTGCAAATCCATAGCTTCAAGCTAATGTCACTAATTCAGATAATTAGTCTTGCTGAATTAAATGGGAAGAATTGTGCACGCATGAGTAGCGGTGGATGATGAAGTGCTTATTTTTCCTATCAAATACATGCCACTCATGACAATGAGCAAATGGTTTTCATAGCATTTGAATATTAAACACCTTCATCTGCATTTATTAAGAACTGGGAAAAATATTTACCCTGTGAATTAACTCCCCCTATTTATCTCCAAATATTGTTTCAGCACTTTAACACAAGTAATTCTGGACCATTCTCTACCGACTTTTCCAACACATCTTCATGTTGTCACCTTTTATCTTCTTGTTTTTTTCTACACAGCACAGATACACAGGCAGTACCTTAGCAATGACAAAACCAAAGAGTAGTGCTAAACTACAGAGAACTTTGAGCACATCTGTGCTGGTTATGGAAGTGGAATTACAGCCCTCAGGGCACAGGACTTTGCAATGGAGAGCAGTACCTTTAACTGGTTTCTCAATATTGCAACATTTTCTGGGAAAAAACCCCAAGCCACACAAACACAGGAGCTCCCTGAGGCTTGAGAGAGCAGAGTTTTTGTGATAGAGAAGGAACAGGCAGAGAGGAAGAGGAGTCACAGGAAGCTGGAGTCAGCTTTGTCTCTGTATAGACTTGACTGGATGCATGCAGAACATCTGCCAGGCAGCCTGAGTTTCCAACTCTTYCCTGAGTCATGTGAACAGGGTGACTAAAATCAACAGAATGACAGACATCAGGATGTCCAGGTATCTCATAGTTCATATCTRGCCCCAGCAGCAGTTTTTTGCCAGGCAAGGCCCTTACAGGGCATTCCTCCCCTGGGACTGCCAAGTCAAACCKGAATCATGCTGCAAATCCTCCCTCAGAGCACTTGCCTATTCCCCCAGTTTCTTGTTTCCCTAATTTTCCCAATCTTTGTCAAATCAAACTGCCTTTGCAATCTCCTACTCAGTCAAGTTGAATTGAAAACAGCCCACAAGTTACATAGTTACTGTGGCTAGACATAAACATGTACCTGTTGAGACACCATGGTTGTAAGGATCCTTGCTTTGTTAGTGAAACAGAGGAGGCATTCACTGYAGTCAGATGTGACAGGAGAAGAAARAAAAACCATCTTTACAATAATAACTGAAAAAAATTTAATACTCCATGGTTTTCTTTTAATGAGAAAAGCRAGTCATTCTGAACACAGCAAATAGGGAAAGCTGTAGAATCCAAATAACATGTTTATAACCTACTTTACAAACGTTAAGTATGGGATAAGTACTAAGATGCTGTTGTCTGTAAACTTAGCAGGTGAGTATATAGAGATAATGASAAAGAACCTTTTGTTTTTTTATGATCTGAAATGGTTTCTTCAAACAGAACAGTGGCAACAGGTATTCAATGGAAGTTCTACACACTGCTTCATCACAGTAATTGTAATTCATGTCATTGAACCTGGMCCCAAATGATTTTAATGCATAAACCTTCTGAGCTGGCATCACACTGCTGTTGTTCCTTRCTTTACATTTGATCTTCTGTTGTCTTAATTTAAACCAGAGCAGATGAGACAAAATACTCCTCTAATCTATACCTGCTGCTGGCTGCCAGCAAGAGTGAGCTGTGTTCAAAGTAATTTTATGTTGGCTGATTAGGTACATAAACCACCCACCTGAGGCCGGTGCATTGCCATAACCACATCATGTTGAGTGGAAAATAAATTATTAGTGTTTTGCATCATCCATAGGAAAAAACGAGTTCAGTAGTTAAAATGTAAACATAGAAAGTTATCAAAAAAATAAAAAGTTCAGCCAGGAAACAAGCAGTCTTTGTATGTGCTTATTATGTTAAATAAACAAACATCAGTAATTACTGTTCTGCCTCAAAGACTGTTGGAGAGATGTATTTCAAACAACATTACATCAAACCTGCAGAGCCTACTTTCCACCAGCTGCAAAAGAGGAACAATTCCTGCTGTGAGAGAGAAGAGGTATGAAGCTGGKTATCTGTAAAGGTGATCAGYACAAGGCAACACAGCAAACACCTGYTCCCTTTGAGCCCAAGGCCAATCTCATCCCCTCAGCACCAGGCAGGCTGAGCACTGCACTGAGTACCTGAGAGCCAGAACAAATAATCACTGGGACTCCTAATGCAAATTGARCCACCACCTCCCGAGGGGAGCAAGCTCTCCCTGCACCAAAATCAGTCCAGAAAGGGATGGGGAAGGAAGAAGGGACAGACTGATGAATTTCAGCTCTTTCAGGCTAACTCCTAAAATCTTCTTTCTCTGTGAGGCGTTACAGGAAAGTCTGCTTGGAGTGACACTTCCTATTCATCTCCTTATTCCTGGTCATARCAGCCACTGCTAAGGTGATTTCATGCCAGTCACTGCCTCCTTGGCAGAACTGAATAAGCATGTGAAATCCTGTMTGAATAATTCAACTATGTCCTGCTTGTGATTGAAAGCTGCTGTGCAGCAGGGAGCTCACTCAAAGAAGGCTTAAAAAACATCCTTACAACTGCTGTCAATATTATTATCATAAATCCAAGGCCTGACTGTGCAAGGTGCAATGAGAAAGCAGTTATTGTGACACCTTCAAAATGAAGGTWGAATAAGGGCAAGAAAACAACCACAGAAACAAAGTGACTAAAAACACAATCACGGATGTTGGTGGTGGCTGCTTAGCACTGAAAAATAACTGATTTAGCAGTTATTTAGAAGAATTACTTAAAAAACATCTTGTTTGTAATTTCAAACCAGTTTGTTTGAACACAGCACTGAGAATTATAAAGTGCTGCTTCCTCTTGGTGTCTCTGTTGAAATATTTATGGTGCTACCCTTGCTGTGGAGTTCAGGCAGGAGGCTCAGTGTTAAAAGATCTACCACAAGCTTTCTGATGGCCTGGGACCTAAACATCCCCACATTACACTATGGGCAGGATGCAGTCTGATTTTTGTTATGGCACCTCATAAAGCAACTATATTACAGCAAAGCTACATGTACTGACTTTTGGTTTTTAATTTAGAAGAGGTTTCAGTAATGAGGAAGAGCCTGTTTAAAACATTYACCATAGTAAACCTAAGAGACACAAAAATAAAAAAAAACCCATGCTTTTTTCCCCTAAATTATTTGAAACAATTACCTTTTCTAAGTGTACAAACAATTCAATCAGATGTCCACTTTGTGGACTACAGAAATAATTTTTCTACAAATAARAAAATAACCTCCCTTTTCATTATTYRTGATTGCAGTTCCCTATTTCCTTCTCATGCTCTCTGCCCCAGTCTAAGGTCTATTTTCATTCCCACAATAATTTCCAAAGGATTAGATCTAGCCCAAGTACAACTACAGGTACTGTTTACAGCAGTCAGAGATTACTCTATGCCTCACTAAAATGTTCAGGCTGCCTTGATCTATCAAGTCAACTGTATCAGGAACAACACTTGGAAGCTGAAGGATTTTCAGAGAATTGCTTCTGGCCAGATCCTTCTTTCCCGCAGTGAAAGCTTTGAAATCATTAATGGGAGCAGTGGCAACAGTGAACAGGAACTTTTTTGACAGTCTTCCT